GCATGTGCCCTGACCAGGAATCGAACCAGCAACCTTTCAGTGCAAGGGACGATGCCCAACCAACTGAGCCATGCCAGCCAGGACACAGGCATCCGAATTTACAGACCTAGGAGAGGATGGCATGTCTCCTAGAGGCAGCCAGGGCACTAGCGAGGGTGTGGACGCTGAGGGCAGACGGCCTGTGTTCAAATCCTTGCCCAGCACCAGCTCGCTGTGTGATATGTGTGTGTGTGTGTGTGTGTGTGTGTGTGTGTGTGTGTGTGTGTGTGTGTGTGTGTGTGTGGCGGGGGGTGTTAACCTCTCTGTTCCCTCAAGAAAATTAGGGGTGACGACAGTGCCTGCCTGCCCCACAGGGTCACTGGCAGGGGAAATGAGGTCACACGTGGTTACGTGCTCAGAGCCAAGAGCTCAGTAAGCACTTCAAACATCTCAGCCACAACTTCCTGTTGTCCTATCAGTTCAGCCATGCTGGCTGGCAGGATAACAAGGAGGGGCCCATGCTGGGTCAGCCCATCAGGGCCAGGGATTACCGACCCCAAACAGGTACCTCTGAGCTCATCCCACTGCACAGGGTGTTAGAACCACCCAGAGCAAGAACGATGGACCAGGGAGAGAAGCTCATCAGGGCAGAAGGCCCTGGATGCCGAGCAAGGGGCAAACCTGGGAAAACAAGAACCTCGGTCCCGGGATAACCTATGGTCCCCTAGCATGTCACTGGTCAGCTGGTTTAGACCCCCTGACCTTCCTCCCTAAAGATAACACCTAGGCCTTGGTTGTAGTTCAGCTCCAGGCCCAGAAAAGCAGCAAACCCAGACGAATGCCCCCGTGGCTGCCTCAGGACCAGCTGCCTTGACTAATGGCCCCCTGCCCTGGTGCCGACCAATCAGGGGAGACAGGACCCTGAAAGGACGCACCTGCCAAGCTGATGAATTAATTCTATTAAGACCCTCCCCCGAGACCTCCCCTAAGAGTTCCACCTGCAAGAAAGACAAATACGCCCAGGACCAAGGAGCACGCCCCTGCCATTCCCCATGCGCACACATCCACTAACCTCTCAGGGACCCCAGGAGACTTGCAACCAAGGGAGCAATGGGCAGCGGCAGCTCACCCCGGGCTGACCCCATGGCCCCATTTCCCTTTGGATATCCCAGCTCCACCCCTTTTCCTTAAGTAAGTTCCGTTTTCTCTGATCACTGTCTGGGATGGCTGTTTACCTGCCCGCACACCACCCACGTTAACTTCCGGGTGTATCAACGGCAGGATGCTTGAAATCACTTCAAACACACAACTGGAGAAAAAGAAAGGAAAACACTTGTCACCCGCTCTTGCCCAGCCAGCAGTTCTCTGGACCATGCACAGGGGTCCACAGGGGAGGCCGGGCAGGAATGTGACAAAGACAAGAAGGAGCCGGTCCAGCACGGAGGGCCGACATGCGACAAGGCAGCGACAAGTCATGTCCTTGGCCTTGGGGAAAGACGTCAGGCGTGAAGAACACGGGCCATGCAATTCCAGGACAGGGCACACCAAACACGGCAAACCGGTGGAGAGGGCAGATCAGAGGTCTCCGGGGCTGGGGGTAGGGGGGCAGGGAGTGACTGCTAATGGAAACGGGTTTCTCCCTGGGGTGATGAAAAGTTTCTGGAATTAGATAGGGGAGGAAGAGAAGGGGAGGAAAGGAGGAGGAGGAAAGGGGGGAGGAGGAGGAAAGGGAGGGAGGGGGATAAGGGGGAGGAAAAGGAAGAGGAGAAGAAGGAGTTGGAGGAAGAGGAGGAGGAAGAGAAGGAGGGGATGAGAAGGAGGAGGAGGGGGAAGAGGAGGAGAAAAGGGAGGAGGAGAAGGAGGATGATGAGGAGGAGGAGGGGGAGGCAGGGGATGAGCCATCAGTGAAGACAAATGGGGGAAGGGTGGCCAGGGCAGTGAGGCTGCAGAAGAATTGTCCCCACCTCAGCCCAAAAGCTCTGATGTCTGGCTTGTAAATGGAAACTTGTAAAAAGAAGCCGGATGGGTAACAGAGCTGAGTGACACATGTGCCTAAGCCTGGCATGCATTCAAAATAATCTAAATGGTCGTGAAAAACAGCTTTTTCAGGTTTAGAGAGGTCCGAATGCAGAAGGGGTTAAAAAGAAGTAATAAAATGTACTATTTAGATTGCCTCCGTCTTGCCCCCTGGTGGCCACCCTTGAACACCGCACAAGGAAACTGATGCCTTCCTTAATCTGGGAGATAGGATGGGGGGAAAGAGAGAAACTGCAGATAGAACAGCCCCTGGAGGACGCTCAGGTCATTTCTGATGTCACCTAACGTGGAGTCCTGCCTGTGGCACCTGCCTATTGTATGCGCCTAGGCCAAGTCACTTCCCCAAGGCTCCCTGACTCTGGAACATGTCCCTCGTGTAGAGCAGTGTCACCCCTAAACCTTTGCCCAGTCCGCTCCTTCCATTGGGCAAACCACCTCTTCCCAGACCACACCCAAATGGCAAACACCGGCTCATCCTCCGAGATTTCCCACACGTGTCCCTCTCTGTGAGACTCCCCCACATGGAGACAGCCCAGCAAGGTCTGAGACACAGTCTCAGAAACAGGGAAGAATCTGACCCTAAGTTGGAAACCAACAGCACAAAATCATTCATAACACAGTGTGGGAATGAAAGCAGACATTTATCAGTGAACCCCCCTCAAAACGCAGTCCAACCTACCGCCAGAGGAGCAGGGGCCACCAGCAGGGCCCAGGGCACAGGACCCCAGTCCCCACCTGGAGGGTCACTCTGGCCAAGTCAGGCCCTCTCTCTGGGCCTCAGTTTCCCCATTTATAATGAGAGAGTTGAAAAGTGAGGAAAAAAGGAAAGCAGAGGAAGAGAGGGAGCCAGGAGGAGGAGGAAGGGAAAGGGAGCTAGAAGAGAAGGAGGGGATATGGGAAAAAGGAATGAGATTGGGAGAAAGAAGGAAAAGTGACCACTGACCATCCTGAGTGCTGAGTAATCTCACTGCTCACAAAAATACTCTTATGGCCAGATAGTACTATCCTCATTTTAGGGGAGAAAAACTGAGGTTCAAGGAGGTCCCTGAAGTCACTTGCTCAGGGTCACACAGTGGCAGAACCGGAACATGAACCCACTTCTTTCAGCCTGGAAAGCCCAATGCTAAGGTCCCACAGTCAGGCTTTGAAGCCATCAGAAAGTGAGCTGAACATCAGCACCTCCCGGTGGCCACTCCCTAGAATTGCAGGCATGAATCCTGGAAGCAGAGAAATTAGATCTTCCACCCTAGCCTGTGAGGTTCAGGCCCCACCCACCCATCTCTGAAGGAGAGAAATCAAGCAGGCAGCAGTGGCAGGGCAGGGGCCTGGGGGCCTGAAGGACGGTGCCAAGGCAAGCCATGCCAGGACTCCAAGGACAAAGGCACCTCAAGGGCAGCGAGTGGAAGAGGAGGAGCCGGGAGACCAGGGTGGGTGCCAGTGTGCCAAGACTATAAAAAGACCCGTTTTAAATGCTTTCTCTCTATAACCTTTGTCTTTACCCCCACACACAAAAGTTCAAGTACGATCAGATAAGCTGAGTCGGTGCACTGGAGAGCGAATGGAGGAAAGGGTAAGACAGAACTCAGTGGAAGGGAGCCTTCGACGGAAACACCGGGCAGGTTTCAAATGCATGAGAGTCTGCAAGCCTGTGACTGAGACCTGGGCCCGGGAAACTCTTCGGGGCTGCTCGGCAGATGACTCCAGAGGTCCAGGTCCTCTGGCGCTGCCGCCCCAGCCCCACGGTCGGCTTTTTAACTCTGTTGCAGCCATTATCCCACCAGGTCCCTGCACAAACCCTACTGGGGCGCCTCCTTCACCCCATTTTACAGAGGAGGAAGCCAAGGTCGGGGCAGTGACGTTTCTTGCCTGTGGCCATAAAGCTGGGAGGAATGGGCCTCGGATTTACATCCAGGGGGGTCCCGTATCTCAGAAACAGGAGACCGGGCACGGGCATTGCTGACGTGCGCAAAACTGCGAGAGCAAAAAGGACCTGTGAGCAGGACGAGAGCTGCGTCATTAAAGAAACACCTATCTTAGAGGCCCCCGCAGGGACCTCATGAGCAAGCGCAGTGCTCGGCAGATCTCCAAGTTTCATGGAACTAAAGTCCAAAAACAGGAAAGGAAAGGAAATCACTGAAAATCAGAGGTGGTGCAGCCTGGAGCCCATTTGGAGACCCAGGCTCTGGAGGAGGGAGCTTCCTTGGGTCCTGCTGCATCACTGACCCGCCTCCTTCCACAGGGGAAGAAACAGGCCGAGGGAGAGGAGGCGCTGGCCCAAGAAGACGCAAAAACAGTAATAATAACAATAACAATAACACTTACTAAGGTGTTTGCAGTGAACTAGGGACCATGTTAAACACTCTTCACATGACCCTATCCGACCCCCACATCCGCCCTGTGAAGTAGACACTATTATTATCCCCATTTTACAAACGAGGAAACAGGCCAGAGGCCCATCTGCATGCAGAGCTAGGATCTGAACCACCAGCCTAACACCGCCTCCCACGGGGACCACCACTACCAGAGGTTGTGCTGTGTGCTGGGCCCTACGCACAGACTTACTCTGTCCTCCCAAAGGTGCAGAATTAAGGATCGTGATCCCATTTGCCAGTGAAGAAACTAAAGTACAGAGAAGCGAAGCAAATTGCTCAAACAGGCTAAGAGGAGAGGTCGGCGGGATTTTCAGACCCCAGCACACGTTCTCTTAACGGGCCCATGCCTGCAGCTGGGGTTACCTCTCCGCATTGGGCCAGAAACCTGAGAGGGAGGAAGGCTTTCTCAGCAGAGCCTCCAATCCTCCTCCACTTCGGGAACCGCAGCGGGCAGGCTGGATAACAACACCTCACTGCCAGACCGGCGCCTACCTGGCCTGGACCCCTCAGGCCCCCGGGCCAGCCCTGCCTCTCCACACGGCCACATTCCCAGTGGCGTCCGAGGACCAGCACCACCTGCACATCCACTCCGGCCACGCCGGTATCACTCACCACGAAGGCCCCGCTCCTCTTGTCCTTGGAGAAGCTGTGGCTCCTCCGGGGGCCCAAAGCCACAGGGGACGCCTGCTGGAGAGGCGGATCGCGGTCCTGGAGGGCCTCCTCCCTCCCCAGGTCTCGTGATGTCACCTGAGACAGGACACAAGGAAAGGGTTTAACTGGGGCTTTGCCATATGCAGGCCGAACAGATCACACCATGAGAGTCCATTCTGTACCTAAAAGGGGGAAAAATAAAATTAAAGCTCCAACACTCCCCCTCCCGCCCCTGCCCCCCCCACACACTCTGACCCCTCGGTCTCAATGATAGGAGGTAATATGCAGGATCAGCAAGTCTGGATTCAGCCCGGCCTCAGCCATTTAATAACTGTGTGAGCTCAGGTGAGTGCCTGAACCTCTCTGATCCTTGACCATGTGGAGAAAGACGGATGATAACAGTATTCAGCTTCTAGGTTCACGGGAGAACCAAGCTGGGATCTGCACTCAGAAAGTGTATGACATAGTGCTGCCACCAGGGGGCGGACGGGTACAGGTCCTGGCACCTGACTTGTCTCACACTCTTCTCCCCGACTTCCTGTCAAAGGAAGCACATTAACTGTTATCCAGCCTTAGTCCTGCCACTGGGAACTCTGGGTGCCCTCGTTTTAGACATCTCTCCATACATCCAAACACATATGTACACACACAGACACAGAAACAGTCTCTATCTAGGTATATAAATAGTCCTACCGACACGAGTCTGAATCCTGTCATTCTTTTCCCTCTCAGCTATATACACAGGACACATTCACAGGCCAGTGCACACAAGACTCCAGAATGGGTTTTACATGTTTCCTACTCTCCCCGCACAGATAGGGGAAGGACAGCCCGGAGAGCGACGGCGCCTGCTGAGGGACACACAGCACCAGCGAAGAGCGAGGCTGGACTCCCGGTCTCTTGTCTCAGAGTCTTTCTTTGATGCTGGATGAGACTCTCTGGGTCTCTTCTTCCCTCCCTGGCTGGTCCTTCCGTTTCCCCGCATCTCAAGGGAAGGTCTAAGGCAGGTGCGTGGAGAGCCAGCTGCAGACCAGGACTTGGCCTGGGGTGAGAACACTGACTAAATGCAGCAAATAAGTGAAGGCATGAAGCTTAACCTGGAAGTGTAGCTCCTCAAACCTCCTTCCCATCAGGCCCCGGGGCCTGGGGCTGGACCACACATGATTTCCTGATAACCCCCCAACAAGTCCGTGAAGCAGGGAGGATCCCCATTCTGCAGATGAGGAAACTGAGGCTCAGAAAGGTCTGGCCAAGTGCCCAGAATGGCATAGCTAACAAAGCTAGGGCCTCGTCCCGGCTCTGCCCAAGTGGCAGTCCAGGGAGACATCAAATCACAAGAGCACAAAGGGCTCGTCTTCCTCCTAAAGAGCTGAATGAAAAAAGCGGGCGGAAGGTAAGCAAGCGGGTTACGGGAGGGAAATACAGAGGGCCTCAGCCTCAGGACAAGGCGAGGGTGAGGGGCACTCATTGGGCCGAGCGCCCCAGAGTCTGAGGCCACGCCCGGCTGGCAAGGCTGAGAGCAACCGGCCCTGTTGTTGACGGTGAGGATGCGAAGTGGGGCAGCCCCGCTGCAGGGCGAACCAGCGGGTCCTGCAAATGACAACCGCGTCCACCCCTGCACAGGCCACCGCCATCCTGAACCCGCGCACGTCCACTACGTCCACACTGAGCGTCGCCCGAGGGCCTGGGAAACTGACTGTAAGCGGAACACCAGCTGGACCACAGGTTCACTGATCTAAACAAAAGTTCCTAGGACATGTATCTGGTCACAAAAACATTCCCACACCTTCCTTCCTTCCTCCCCGCCCTCCTCTCTCTCTCTCTCTCTCTCTCTCTCTCTCCCCCCTGCCCTTCCACTCTTTCTAAAATTCAATGGAAAAAAAAATAGCCTCATTCCTCAAGTAAAGATTAAAAACACACACACGCAAGATGATGATTTTCCAACCCATTACTCCAGTTCATGGGGGGGCCAAAGCCTCTCTCGGCAGCTCGGGACCCAAGGCGGGCACCCACCCTGGTCAGGACACCTGTCCGTCCCAGGGCCGCGCACACCCGGACTCACCAAGGCGGGGACGATGCAGACCCACCGAGTAGCCCAGCGCGCACACCTCTGCACGTGGGGGGAAACCGGGGCACCCGGAGAAGCCCGCGCGGACATGGGGGGAGCGTGCAAACGCCACGGACAGTGGCCCCGGCAGGGGAGCCATTTTTCTCTCTCCTGGTTATGATGCTGAACGAAACGACGTCATTCGAGGACCGGCTGACCCTGCGCATGTGCACAATGACGTGACACGCACAAGGTACGTGGGCACGCACAAGGTACGTGGGCACGCACAAGGAACGTGGGCACGCACAAGGAACGTGGGCACGCACAAGGTACGTACACACCAGCTGTGACTCAGGCCACCCAGGCAGAGCCCTCTGAGCCTCTGTTCCCATCCGTGCAGCAACCAGAAGGCACGGCTCGCTCCGTGGGCTGAATCCAGAAACCCCCCAAGATGCGTTTACGAAAAAAGGCAAGTGGCCGCTCTGTGGGTTAAGCAGAAACCCTCACCTCGAGAATCCCCTGGGAGTGTCTACAGCGAACAAAGGCGGACCCCACCCCCGCGATCCCAATCGAACTGGTCTGGGGTGAGGCCCCTGCATCGCCTTCTTTTAGGGGGTTCCTCCCACAGGCGACCACAGCTTCAACTACTTGCACAGAATGCTCTTTTTTTGGGGGTGGGGGGGAATGAGGCAAAACCAAGAATATGCATTCCTACTTGCTTGTATTCTCAGAAAGAAACGCTAAAGGAATTTGCACAAACAAGAATGGAAGTAATTACTGGGTGGGGCGGGATGGGAAGATGGGGAACCAGAGGTATGGGGGAATTTTTACTCCGTACCTTTAAATATTTTTAGAGCCACGTGAAAACATTCTGTCTTCCGAAACAAAAATAAGTAATTTAATTACGTGAAATACAATCATCGGGCGTGGGACAAAGCTTCGATAAACGTTTGTTAAGTGAAAGAAAGAGAGAGAGAAAGGAAGGGAAGAAGGGGGGGAGAGCAGGAGGGAGGGAGGGAGCACTTTAATTATGACCACGCTCATGCACAGTACATGAGCGGAACTGGCTGTGAATCATGAAGTCCTCACTGAGGAAGCAAAGATGTGCCTCAAAATGCTCAAGGACATACATCCTGCTTCTAACCCCCAAACTGGAACCCACCAAACTATCCATCAACAAGAATCTGGATAAAAAAGTTGGGGCTCAATCCCATAATAAGATATTTTGCAGCCACTCAAAATAACAAGGTAATAGAACTGCTTTTTACTGTTAAAAAAAAAAAGGCAAGTTGTCAGATGCTCTGAAGACTGTTGCTGTGTTTCCTAGACAGTATGTACTCTGCGTTACCTCTATCTGTGTCTAGCCCAGGGCTCCTCGGCCTGGGAGCCGCGTTGGTCGCCGTGAGGCTGATGACTGACTGCAGTGGGGCCGTCCTGGGCATTGGAGGGGCTGGGCGGCACCCCTGGTCTCCAGCCACTAGCTGCCGGGATCACACTCTCCCCCAGTTGTCACAACAGAGAAAGTCTCAAACTTTGTCAGATGGCCCTGAGGGCCAACTGTGCAAGACTGAGAAGCATGAATGGGCCTGGAGGGGCGTGCCCCAGTTCCTGCACCAGACTCATTCTTTCGGGGGAGATTTTCTTTCTAAACCGTCTGTTTCTATAATATTTTAAGTTTTACACAAGCATGCACTACCTCTGCAATAAGGAAAATACAACGATTATAAGTAAACATATATATGACTGACAATCTGTCATGTAGGAGAGTCCCACAGGACATCAAAAACTGCCCCCTTGGCTGCATCTGGGGGACGGAAAAGGGGATGGGGTCCCCAGGGGAACACTATTTTAGGCACTTTTGTAAGGTCTGAATTTTCAGCAACCAACGTTGTGCACTTCTGTATTGCTTGCGTGGGTTTTCACTTTTTAAAGATGAAGAACAAGATATCTTTGGGCAGGAGTGGAGAGCAACGGGAGCTGGTCCAAGGCCTCCCAGTCCTTAGTGAGGAAACAGATCCCCTGACAACAGCGCTGCTGGGCCCGCACACCCGGGGCGGGCGTCCAAGGCCGGGCGGGCCCTCTACCCTGCGGGCTCCGCTGCCAGCAGGGCCCCAAGGAGGCACTGCAAACAGCCCCAGTGTCGCATTTCCCTGGTCTCCTCCCTCTCCCCGTGCTCCCACAAGAACCCCGGGGGTGGGGACAGGTGGCTCCCCTCTCGAGAAGCACCTGTGCAGAAGCCAGGGGCACCCCAGAACTCATGCTCAATCTCCATTCAGCCTAGGAACAGGACTTTGAGGCAGGGATACCTGTTAACTCTGGTGGGAAACTGAGGCTCAAGGAGGCCAAGTTCCTGCTTTATACACAGCTGGTAAGTGGCAGAGTAGAGAGGTGGGTTCAAAGCCAAACTCCACCCCTAACCTTGGGTGAACCTTCATCTCATGATCTCTGTTGATATAATTAATTCTATTGTTGCATTTCCACAACATCCCTTTCCAGGTTGGATCCCTCTCTCTTTTAAAAAAAATTATATATGTTTTTATTGATTTTTAGAGATAGAGGAAGGGAAAGGGATATAGAGGTAGAAACATGATGAAAGAAGAACATCATCGATTGGCTGCCTCCTGCACATACCCCACTGGAGATTGCGCCTGCAACCCAGGCATGTGCCCTGACTGGGAACTGAACTGTGACCTGGTTCCTATGTTGACACTCAACCACTGAGCCACACCAGTCAGGGTGTGTGAGGGTTTATCCTTCCATTACTGAGCATGGCGCCAGGCAGAATGGAAGAGTCTGAACGTTAAAAAGCCCTGAAATCAGCCTCAGGCAAAGACAGAAGCAAACTAGAAAATAAAAACTCCAGGTTCCTCGCCCCTTGGACAGGACAACTCGCAAGTGGTCTATGCTGCTCCCCCGAGGCCTCCAGTGAGAATGAGGGTTAGTGGCCCAGAGTGATACCTTCATCACCTGCCTTCCCTTCCCTGCCCCCCCTCCACTCCTCTTCCAGCTCTGAGGATCACCTCTTAAAACAATACTTTCCAGAACCTGCTTCTGTGGAAACCCAAACCACAAAAGAGGGATTGCCACACGAGGCTCACATACGATGGCTCATTCACACACTCAACAAGTATTTCTTGAATGTTCACAAAATGTCAAGCAGAATGCTGACCTCTGGGATACAATAATGAACTTGTCACAACACACTGGAATACAGCAGGTGCTCAATAAATGATACCTACTGTTATCATCATCCTAGGCCAGAGGTTTCAAACTCGTGGCTAAATGGAGCCAGCAGACACTTTTCTTTTTATTCATTTGGACTGAACAGAATTTTTTAGTAAGCTGTCCTCATTTCATGGGGAAAAAACCTGGATTGCTTTTTCAGATTCTCTTGATAAACCGGATCTGCCCTCTCAGGACCACCATTCCCACTTGTCAAGAACCAGCAGGAAATGAGCAGCACTTGTCCCTTCAGACAAGGCATGAGCTTTCCGTTAGCCACAATCCCCACCACTCCCTAGAGCAGTGGTTCTCAACCTGTGGGTCGCCAACCTGTGGGTCGCGCGACCCCTTTGGGGGTCGAACGACCCCTTCACAGGGGTCGCCTAAGACCATCGGGAAACACATATATAATTACATATTGTTTTTGTGATTAATCACTATGCTTTATGTTCAATTTGTAACAATGAAAATACATCCTGCATGTCAGATATTTACATGACGATTCATAACAGTAGCAAAATGACAGTGATGAAGTAGCCACGAAAATAATTTTGTGGTTGGGGGTCACTACAACATGGGGAACTGTATTAAAGGGTCGCGGCCGTAGGAAGGTTGAGAACCACTGCCCTAGAGACTCACACCCGGGCTGACTCATTTCCTTACCCGCCTGGCCCACGTAGGTTCTGAGTTTGATACCCCTGGCCTTCATGTGTAACCAGCGTCTCACAATACAGAAACGGCCTTCATACTCACCTTTTGACTGTCTCGAGTCCCCGAGTCCCGCCGACAGGGCCCCAGTTTGGTTTCCTTGGCCTCCGAACTCTCCCCAGGGAGGCTGGGCCTCCCTTGGGGCTGCTCTCGCCTCCTCTCTCTGGCTTCCTGCATGATGGACAGGCCCTCTCGGACTTTGGCAGGGGCGCCCTTCTCCGAATAGGCCCTTTTGACGTCCAGCGGTGACCGGCCACAGTCCAGCGGGCGGTCACCCCACTGGGCCACACGGCCCTCCTCTCCCCGCCCGGTGCATTTCCTCGGGGTCCCTTTCTTCTGGTCCGCTGGGGAGGATCTGGCCAACACACCGGCTCCACGGCTGGGGTCCTCCCAGGCAGCCGGGTAATCCTGATGCTTTGCACCGTGATGTTTACTAGCAAAGGCCTTGGACTCGTCCTCAGCGATTCCTGAGACCTTCTTCCCGGGACCCCCGGGGACGGGAGAGGCCCCTGGCTGTTTTTCGGGAGCCCCGGGCGGCAGAGCCCACAGAGGAGAACTGAGTTTGGGGCTCGTGGCGGCCCCCGGGCTCTCGGCCAGCTGCCTGCCAGAGGCTGGACTAGAACTGTGGTTTGTTTCTGCAAAACTGGCCTGTTTCCGGGGACCCTCATCTTCGGGCCCCTCCTTCAGGCTCCTCCGCCTCCGGTCCACCCCGCCTCGCTGGCCTGGCCGCTCCTGGGCCCAGCCAGGCTCTGCGGGCGGCCCCTCCGTCCACTCCGGAGCCTCCGGCTTCTTGTACTCGGCCATCAGGGCGTCAATGTCAAGAACGCTGGATCTGTAGCCACCTGTGACTTTGCCCAGGGACGTCCCGCTGACCACCTCGCTCCTCCTTCTGATGGTTTGGGGAGCGCTACTGGGGGGCGTCTTGCTCCCACCTTCCCTCCAGTCATTCTGAAACCCAGTGCGGCCTTCTGGTCGCCGATGGACACCTACGGCGTCTGCATCGAAGATTCTCTCGGTGGAAAGATCCAGAATCCTGTCCCCGGGAGGCGATGAAACATCTGTTGGCTTTCGCGTGTTTGAAAAGCTGGCGCTGTCACGCCGTCTGCCCTGCGCCCGGCTCTTACTGCCCACGGCCTCCAGTGGCTCTTCAGGGTTGGGAGAAACCAACGTGGAAGTTAAAGGATGAGGCGATGGAGGCGGAGCTATTTTTCTAGAATGTTCCGTCAAGCTTTCAGGCCCTTGCTTAACAACACCCTTTGCTTTTTGAGCATCGGGAATCTGATATGTTACTGCAAAAAAGGTGGCCTTGGGTTCCCCAGACGGCCCTGGGCTCACAGCTGGGAGGGCCGTGTCCGCCTCCCGGGCCTCCACCCTGTTATGGGATGGTAGACGTTTCCTCGGGGCGCCTGCGGTGGGGCTCAGATCATCGGGGCCTGGCTGCTCCCCCTCTGAAGCCAGGAAGCTGAATTCCTCAAACTTCACGTCGTGGGGCAATGTCCGCCGCCTCCACTTGTCGAATCTCTGGTCCCCGGGGCTCCCCCTCCGCATCCTGACTCCAGGCTCCGGGGCCGGGGCCGGCCTCCGCTCAGCCTCCCCGGCAGCCACCACTTGGGGCCCTTTCTGCACAAGCCCGTCAGGGGGTGGCCGTGCTCGGAGGTCCGAGGGCTCACCCTTGGCTCTGGAAGGGGCATCGGGAGGGTAGCTGCGGGGAGCAGCCCTTTCTCCCGCGGAAGCACAGCCTCCTGGCCTGTTCCTGGCCCCTTCGGGCCCCTGGCTGGGCCTCG